GGGGCTAGTGAGATGGTAAAGATGTCTACTGCAAAACCTGGTGACCTGAGTTCAATTCCCAGGACCACATGGTGGAAGGAGGGAACTGATTACCACACAGAGACTTACACATGGTCACATGGACATGTGCGCGCGCGCGCGCGCACACACACACACACACACACACACACACACACACACACACACACACACACACTGAATAACTAAAGAGAAGGAAAGTAAAAGATGGAGGTGGAGGAGACAGATATCCCAAAGGAACTGGATGGGAACAGGAGGTTGGAGAGAGGGGTGGGGAGCGGGTGTGTTTGACAGAGATGGACTGTCCAAGTTGGGAGTCACTGAACTAGAGCCAACAGGAGGTGGCGATACTGTGGAAGGCCTTGTCCTTCACTGAGGAGAGAAGGAGTGCTTGGGAGGAGTTGGGGGCTGGCAGATGGGGGCAGGCGGTCAGGAAGACGGGTACAATGTGCACGGCCCTCCACACCCACTCAGACAGTGATGATCAACCATGGTTGTGCCTTTGAATGTTACCAACCCCAGAGCCTGAGCTATACGCCCACCTTTGTCCTCGGAGCCTAAATGACAAAATATGGCCGAGCAACGAGGTCGTGAGGATAGCAAAGAAGGCAACAGAACATAGGGCAGGTGTCAAGACAGGAGAATGACAACAACTAGCTTTAGAGACACAATGTCCATCTTCTCCACACAGTCTGATACAACAGGTCTTGGGTGTGAGCCCAGACGCTCTAATTTATATCGATTGTGAATAATGGGTTTTGTGATAACATCTAAACACATGTATATAATGTATTTTGGTCGCATTTATCCCCATTGCCGTCTCTTTCCCCTTCCTCGTCTTTGATACCTTTTTTCGTTTCAGGGTATTCCCCATTGTACTTCATACCTTCCCCTCTCTCCCTCTCTCTCCCCCTCCTCATTCTCTTCCTCTCCCCATTTCCCTCATTCCCCCATCTCTCTCTCTTCCCTTTTGTGACTCAATTTATTCCATCGGGGGGGGGGGGTGTGAGACACCCTGCCAGTGGCTACACCACTGAAAAACTCTCTCTGTCTCTCTCTCATCAATCATTAGCTGCCTATGGGTCCCCACAGAAGGGAAGAGCCTTGTGTGCTCCTTGCCCCTGGCTGACAGGATGTCTCCAGGCCCAGTCTTGCACAGGCCTAGTGAAGGTGATCACAGCCATGAGTTCAAGTGTGTGGTAGACTATTTATTCTTACTAAAGCATCTGATTGGAGTTGCTTTTCTCAGGACATCTCTGGGAAAGTCTCAGCTACCCCAACACAGTGCCTAGAGCACAGAGCTGGGTGTCATGACACTCTGGGGTGCTGTCAGAACTGCGATACGGACTCTGCACCTCAAACAGACTCTTAGGTCTGTGCGTAAGTGTGTGAGGCTGCTGCAGACTTTCTGATGGCCTGGATTCTAGGAGGTTGAGCTGCAGTTCAGGCCAGTCTGTTTTCCAGCTCCATATCTAGAGAAAAAAGGCTGGAGTGACCTGAAATCCATTTTGCTTATGCTTTGTCACCTACAAACCAGGATCTGCAGTAGCCGCTCCTATCTGTGAAGTCAACTGCAATACAGAATGGTGAGGGCAGCATTTCCCAGAATGCCATCATGCCCGCCTTTCCCAGCTAATCTTTCTGCGATTTTTTTCTTTTTAAAGATTTACTTATTTTTACATAATATGTATGGGTGTTTTGCCCACATTTATGTGTGCTATCTGTGTGCGTTGCCCATAGAGGCCAGACGAGGGCATCAGACCCCTGGAACTGGAGTTATAGACGGTTATGAGCTACCATGTAGGTGTGCAAGAGCAGCCAAATGCTCTTAACCACTGAGCCATCTTTCCAGGCCATTGCTATGGGTTTAGAACTGAACCATTCGCTCCAAGTAACTCTTTTAGATCCAGTACACCGATCTGGAAGCTGGGGAGATCATTGCTCAACCCAAGGCTCCCAGTGACCCATGGGAAGTTCCCACCTCACTTCCCAGGCTCAAAGGAACTGCCACGGGCCCCCCCTTACCTTCTTCTCTTCTGTCAGCTGCTTGATTCTGACTTTCAGCTTCTCCTCTTGTTCCAGCTTCTCCTTGTTCAGCTTCTCCTTCTCGGCCAGGTGTTCCTGCTGCAGAAACTGCTGAGTTTCCCGAGAATCGCTCACTTGGAGCTGCATGGAAAGAAAAGGCAAGCGAAGCCCATGGGGGAGAGACTGGAGTCCTTTCCCACCTCCTCACAAATCGTTTCTCTGCCAGGGAGCAAAGTCTCCCGTAATAGTTCCTGAAAAACGTGGCTGAGCCATACTTGGTCTGAAGGACTGGTGAGGAAGCAGCAGGAATATTAAGATGTCACACTCTGGTCCTAGATAGAAATCCCTGCTCTAGTTAATTCTACATGTGTCCTCATTCCAAACAGGAGGTGTCATTGTACATCTCGGGACTTAGTGTAGTGCATGGCGTAAAATAAGGGCTCCGTAAACAGCAGCCAGAAGTATCTGAAGGCTCCTGCTTTTGCTTCTTTATCCAAATAGCTGTGTGGCAGTCAGATTATCACCAGCCTCTCTGAACACTGGTGTCCATATGCACAGTATGGGATTGATGGACTGCCATCCACAGGCCAGATCTGGTTCTCTCCTCTCCTCTCTCTCTCTCTCTCTCTCTCTCTCTCTCTCTCTCTCTCTGTGTGTGTGTGTGTGTGTGTGTGTGTGTGTGTGTGTGTGAAGGCATGCATGTGTCATGGCATTCATGTAGAGATAAGAGGACAGCCTGAAGGAGTCAGTTCCCTCCTTTCCCCATGTGGGTCCCAGGGATTGAACTCAGGGGGTCAGGCTTGCAAGCATCTTGATCTGCTGAGCCACCTCACTGGTCTTCTACAGAGGAAGTCAAGCTCTGGTTATCCCAGGAGCCAGACAGGGGAGGTGCCCTGTGTTTGTCTATCCCTGTGTGGGCCTTCTCGGACACTGGCTTAATCCCTTTGTGCAAATGGAAAAAAAAAAAAAAACAAAAAAAACAAAAAACCTGTGACCTGTAGGAGTGTGGGGCTGACTTACCCACAGCATGAGAACAGATTCAAATTCACAGTTGGGGAGGGGGAGAAGAGAACTTAAAAGAATCACCTTAAGTTCCTGGGTCTGGCTCATAATTTTCTTGTATTGTTCCAGAAGATAAATTAGATACAGAGAGAACCCTTAAAAAGAGGGGCAGGGGGAGAGGTGAGGGTCAACTTATCTCCTGTGTCTTTTTCTTCCCCCACCCTCCCTCTCTCCCACCCTTTCTTTTTGTTCATCTTCCTTTCCTTTATGAGATGTGGTTTTATCCCTTGGTGGTGGCACACACCTTTAATCCCAGGAGGTGGATCTCTGTGAGTTCGAGGCCAGCCTAGTCTACAGAGGGAGTTCCAGGACAGCTAGGGCTACACAAAGAAACCCTGTCTCAAAAAACAAAACGAAACAAAAAAAAACAGAGAGGGGGAGAGAGAGAGACAGAGAGAGAGACAGAGACAGAGACAGAGAGACAGAGACAGAGACAGAGAGAGGAGAGGGAGGAAGGGAGGGAGGGAGAGAGAGAGAGAGAGAGAGAGAGAGAGAGAGAGAGAGAGAGAGATGGCCTTGCTATGTAGCCCAGGCTGGCCTTGAATTTGTGACCTTTCTGCCTCAGTGTTCTACCGGCTGAGGGTACAGATATGTACGACTATACCCAACTATGGAATCTGCACACAGGTGAATGGACACAGGTTCGACAGCCCTCCCATCAAGACAGGACAAGCTGTCATCTAACATATTTTTAAGTGGTTATTAGATGGGTCAGTCACAAATCCAAAGTATAGAAGACTTGGTTTTGGTAGAAACTAAAAACCTATCAATAAAGCACTTACTTTTTTATTTTATTTTATGTGCATTGTTGTTTTGCCTTCATGTATGCCTATGTGAGGGTGGATCCCCTGGAACTGGAGTTAGACAATTGTGAGCTGCCATATGAGTGCTGAGAACTGAACCAGGGTCTTCTGAGAGAGCAGACAGTGTTCTTAAACACTGAGCCATCTCTCCAGCACCTAAAGCACTTATTTTAAAAACATTTCCTGTTTTTAAATTGTATACAAATTGAGAGTGGGGAATTTTGCGAAACCGCACCTTCCCAGGCCTTACAGTGTAGTCTGAATGCGACAGGTCCACCCTGACAGATAAACACACAGGAACCATGGGTAGCACCCACAGGACAGGTGAGCACAGGGGAGCGTGAGGGTCTCAGCAGACGGGCCTTTTGCTGAGGAGCCACTAGGTGTGGGCAGAGTGGGAGGGAGGGCTTTCCAGAATAGAAGTAGAGGCTGGCTGAGGGGATGAGGCCACCAATAGCTGGGTCCTAGCTCCTGGGACCTGTGAGTACATGGAGACAGGGACATTGCCAGTGGGCTTAGGTTAAGGATCCTGTTGTAGAGATTAGTCAGGGTTATCTGTGCAGACTCAACATAATCCCACAGTTCTCATAAGGAGACAAAGGCAAGGCAACAAAAACAAGGCAACTGGTCTAGACTGTTGGCCTCTGGTGTATTAAGAGAGTCCATACACGTTCGGAGCCGCTTGGGCTGTGGTGACGTGTTGGAGCCGCACATGGAAAAAACATGAGAGGATGAAGACCTGTGGGGACCAGGGAGGGACTCGGTTTTCCTGGGCAGCTGAAGGGTGGAGGGAGGAATGGTGGGTGGAACTGAACGGGAGGATACCTGAAGATTACTTCTGGCAGGCCTGGGGAGGAGCCTAAAATATGCAGTCCTGATTTAAACATGGAGGAAATGCACTGAGTACCCCTGCACCCCCCCCCCGCCCCGCCCCGTGTGCCTGGTGCTCTGGGAGTCAGTGAACTCCTCGCCACAGCAGCATCCTGTCATCGCTCCATCTGATAGATGGGCTTTGAGCTGGGGCTCCCCAGGCCTCCAATCAGTGTGACTGCAGGGTCTGAGTCACAAGCTGCTGGGCTACCGACTGAGCAGTGAGCAGCTCTGGGAAGAGCGTGCTTGCAGAATGAAAGCTGGGACCGTTAGAGCAGTGAGCCGATGGCCGTCTTTTCTATAGTGTTACTGGCATGGTAGGCCAGCCCCTTCCTTGCCACGGAATCTCAGTGGTTCTTTTTTTTTTTTTGAGACAGGGTTTCTCTGTGGCTTTGGAGGCTGACCTGGAACTAGCTCTTGTAGACCAGGCTGGTCTAGAACTCACAGATATCCACCTGCCTCTGTCTCCCGTGTGCTGGGATTAAAGGCGTGCGCCACCAACGCCCGGCTGTAGCAGTGGTTCTCAACCTTCCTAACCCTGCAACCCTTTAATACAGTCCCTCATGTGGTGACACCCTCCCCCCAACTATGTAACCCTTTTGTTGCTACTTCACAACTATAATTTTGCTACTGTTATGAATCGTAGTGTAAATAGCTGATATGCAGAATATCTTATATGTGACACCCACAGGGGTCCGGATCCACAGATTGAGTACAACTGCCATATGGAGTGGTCACAAGTCTCCATGGCCTCTGCCAGATGCCAGAAGTCTCTCTCTCAGTCAGCCAAAGAGGCCTCTAGATGCGGCCAGATACCCCTGAGATGTTAGAGACTCCTGCTCTGAGTTAGAGGCAGGGAACTTGCCTGTAGCCAAAGGCATGCCCAGGTGGTCAGGGTTGATGTTCTGAGCTAGGTTGCAGAAGCAGGCTGAGAGAAAGCATGAGGGGCATCAGCTAGCTCTGAGATACCTGGAATCTGAACTACTGGAAGGACCCCAGGGGGAGCTGGAAAGAGAGGAACTGTGTGGCAAGGCCAGTCTAGGCTCTCACTCAGCCACCACCTGCAACCCAGGAGACAAAGAGAAGGGCCAATTAAGGGTGGGATCTACAGAGGACCAGGGGGAGAGGGGAGCAACAGAAGGTGAAGTGGAGAGGGGGTGCCAGGTTGTGTCTCAAGAGCCGATGGTGAACTGTGATCAGGTTGGGATTTTACCTTTGGGGAGAAGAGCAAGATGTTGCTGTATTTCCAGTTACAGAAGCTTCACATGCTCATTGCAAAAATCCAAAGGTTACACATGCTCATGGGAAGAAGCTCATGGCTGTCTTCTGTGTTCCACACAGCGGCCAGAACATAATAATGACTGGAGCTGGGGTGCAGCTCAGTGGCAGAGTGCTTGCCTAGCACATAGGAGGCCCTGGGTTTGATTCCCAGCACCTGTATAAACTGGATGTGGTGGTGCATACCTGTACCCCAGCATTCAGGAGGTGGAGATCAGAGGATCAGAGCTTCAAGGTCATTCTCAGATGCATACCAAGATCAAGGCCAGCCTGAGTCACATGAGACTCTGTCTCAAGAAACAAAAACAATCACAAAGCGGCTGAACGACAGAATCAAAGTAAAGACCCTCTGTGATCTACCCTGTTGCCATGACATTCCATAATTTTGTGTTCCATCCCCAGGTTTTTCTTTTCGTCAGTTACTGACACTTAAAAAAAAAAAGGAACATAGTTTACATATTGTTTTGCAACTTGATTACTTCTTCTTTAGACAGGGTCTCACACCTGCTGCTCCTCCTCCTGAATGCTGGTGTGGCCCGATCTTTCTTTCTTCCTTCCTTCCTTCCTTCCTTCCTTCCTTCCTTCCTTCCTTCCTTTCTTCCTTCCTATCCTACATACTCATTCATTGCTGAACCAACCAGCTTACTCATGTAAAACAGATGAATAGCAAATCCCAGCCCCAGCTGAGCATAAATCTCCAGCCATAAAAATTTGGAGCTGTGTTTGGTAGGCTAGGTTGCCCCTGGTAGACCAGGTTGCCTGGCAGTCAGTGGGAACAGCCTTGCTGTTATGAATCCTTCACAGGGGTTCTGCTCCACCTTCTTCTCTTGGAGCCGTGCCTGACCTTGTTAACAGTTTTCAGTCCATACCCATGCATGGGATGGTGGGATGAGTTCGTTTTTGTTTCTTGGCCAGGGATCCCTTAATTCTGAAAGTCTTGTGAGAACACTGAGGCAGGGGAGGAACTGAGTCAACTGACAGCCCACAATGGCAGAGATGACGATGGTGGAGGCAAAGTGGAGCGTCTCTTCTCTTCTCTTTTCTCTTCTCTTCTCTTCTCTTCTCTTCTCTTCTCTTCTCTTCTCTTCCTCTCCTCTCCTCCCCTCCCCTCCCCTCCCCTTTCTCCCCCCTTTCCTCTCCTCTCCTCTTTCCCCACTTAAAAATATGGCATATCTCAGCTCTTCTACAGGTGTGGGTCCCCCAACCCCAGTTGCAGAAATGGACACAGACAAGCAGGCTCGCAGAGGTAGCTCTTAACAGTCCTTTCTTTCCCTTATCAAGGAGCCTGAAAGCCGAATGGGGGCAGTTGGTTTTCAAGGCTCCCTCTTGGATGTTTCGTGTCTTCTCAGCGCTCCCTTTGATAATCAGATGGGAAGCAGTGCTCCTTGGAAGCCGAGCAGCAGGACTTCAAGGCTCCCCCACATTAGGCAACCTGGACTGCTCTGGGGTTTATCTCAGGACTTAGGGACTTGCTTGTTATGCAAGTTTTCGCTCTCAGAACACTGTTGTGAAGGGAGGCAGGATGTATGATGGTTAGGAGTGGGGCTCTGAGGCCAAGGGGACTTGTGACACAAGGCCATGTCTCTAAGGTGGCCTTGAAAGGGCTCTTTGTCTCTGGACCCTACTAAGTGCTAATTCACTGCCTGGGGAGGTAGGGTGGTGTCTGGATACAGTCTCCTGGTGTAAGTCAGACTACACTGCCCAGACACAGATGGATGGCCACCACCAAATATCTGAGGATGCTGAAGACAGCGACTCCTTTTAAGCAAAGGCTCTCCGAGGGCCAGGCCGGTCTTTCACCTCTCATACTTACCAGTGAGTTTCCTGACCATCTTACAAACAGGTAAATGGAGATGCAGCATTGTCTAGGAACCTGCCCACACAATGGAGTGCCAGTCTGAAATTCCAACCCTGGGGTCCAAGGCTCAAATGCAGAAGAGTCAAAGAATAGTCCAAAGGGTAGGGGGTGGGCTGTGTTGTTGGTGCTATGCTGTGGCCTCAGCCAAATTCACTTTGAATTGAAACGGGCCCCAGAGTCATATGTCATGGTATTTGGAGACATAGCCCCTAAGGGGCACTGCAGCTTTGTGAGCAGCTGGCTCTGCCACTCTGACACAGCAGAAAGGCCTCACTAGACACTAGCG